AATGTCTCAAAATATTATCAATATTGGAACACAACTTTTTATGTCGTCTTAAAAGCAAGCCTAATGCAAAATATAGACGAACCCGGGGCAAACCTAAAATGTAGAAACAGTTTTTTGAGTGTACTCCCCATTCACTTACCACTCGCTCTCTCACACACTCATCTTTAGTCGCCACTTGGCCGTCGCCTGCGGCGTCCTTTTATTGGCTAGTATGAGTATGCAAAAAAGTAACGAAAAACGGGGACAACTTTTGAGCTCGTACCCCATGCGAGTAGACGACACATTTGGCGCCTAATTTTATGCCAGACAAACGCAATGACAAGGCCAACACGTGCCGTTTGTTTGCAGCCTGTCCGCATTGTGTGTTTCTGTGTTTTCGTTGCATACTTTTAGGTGTTCTTGTATAGCCTGCGAGTGTGTGCACAAACATACATTGTGTGTGTGTCCTGTCCTCGGCTTAATAAAGTCAGCTACTTAAAGCAAACGACAATGACGTTGTGCGTATGTTGCCACACCTCCACCCCACCAGTCGCCTCTCTGCCTCTCTGTGCGCCATGTGCCACACATCCGGTGTTGGCATTGGCATTAGGACTGCCTCTACGATTGCCATTGCCGCTGCCATTGCCATTGCCATTGCCAGACTCGCCATGCACTGTCGTTTGTCGTTTCCGTCCTGCTTCTCTTTTATTTCGCTGCTTTTATTCTCTCTGCACTTTTGCGCTGCTCATTGCCGCTTTTTGCTTTTGCTTTCGCTTTTGATTTTTGTTTCATATTTTGCGCCCTTTGTGGCCTTTCTCTCTCGACCCGCTTTGTACCAGTAGAGCAGTAAAGCAGCAGGGCACAAAAAAGCATTTGACGCTTTGCTTTAAATGCCTTAAGTGCCATAAATTTCACTTTGCCGTAAGCTTTAAGCGGCAGGCGACAACCCACGGCCGACAAACGACATTGTGTGCTTAATGCTTATGTGCAGAGTGTCATACAGGGTTGTCAGGTCTCCAAAAGCGAAATGAAATATTGCAAGGCATCGAATTCTGCAGTCATCCAATGTTCTCATTAAAAGACTATGCCTATTTAAATCTTCTATTCAAATATACGTATATATTCCATATACTCTCCATATTTTCTCTCGGAACTTTAATCTATAAATGCAGGCTTTTTTCAGGCCACTTTACTTACAAAACTCAAAACAGAACAGAGGTTATTCTAATGTGAACAATTACGGCTTTGTTTACGATTTCGATCAATTTGTCATGTTAGAATACTACGCTTATGCCCCCTTATACGCACAATATGTTGTGTAACTATTTGGACAACTTATTCTATATAATTGAACTATCAATAAAAATGTACAATACAAAGTAGCAAGTCCTGGATTAATAAAGATGTCTTTTGAATTGTAGAGTAACGACAAGACGAACTCGTTTCAAGTCCATATTGATAATTTGTAGTTTTTCTTTTCTTCTTAAAAACCAACGAAAATAATTAAAAGCGGCCCAAAATTATAAATTATTTATTATAAAAATGTTATATTGGAAAATATTCAGAGCATGTCAACTCTTTAGTCACCCACACTACTCCAGAGTTTAGCAACTTAAGCAGCTCCTCCCTTGCCACCACAACTACACATGGCAGCTTAGCTGGCCCCACCACAATTTGTGCGACTCATGCCTACAATCTTTATGAAGTGTTAATTCCTGGCTGTTGCCTTGATGGGGAAAATTTAAGCCACATCTTTGAGCTAATCACACATTTGTCAAATTTATTCAAATGTCTTTCAAAAGCGCAATGCGTGTTTTTTGTGCGCAGACATGAATAGTTAATTCAAAAGCGAGTCGGTCGCTGATTTTTTACACATGCGTGCTATGCATGTACATATGTATATATATATATAGTATATATACATACATGTAAATGTATATATTTGTATATGTGATTTGGTCATTATACCCTACATTTGAAGGGTTAATGTGTATACTAGAATGTCTAAACGGCAAATGTATGCAACAGACAGAAGCAGACAGGTCCCATGTTATACATACATATATGATCAGCATAGCAAGACGTATCAGCAATCGACATATGGTCTACACTTGGTATATAGAATTGTCTTATCTATACGCGGGGCACGTTCATCGCAAGCCATATCTGGTAATTCTTTTGTTCGTTTATTTGCTAATACTTCGCAATAATTTAAAGTATTATTAAATCGGTTAACTAAAGGTACATCATAAAGCATAATTGTTGCAACATAGTTGAATTTATTTGCAAAACTGTAGTAAGGAGGGATGGGTGCAGGGTATTCAAGAGTCGAGCTGGCACGACTTTAACGTTCCTCTCGTTTTGTATTAAGGCTAATGAGTTTTTGGCATGTCTGTTTGCCAAGTTCTGAGCTACATTTTTATATGGTTTTCTTGTTGCGCCCTCTGAATTTTGTCACCAGTTGTTAGTGTTGTTACTTTTGTTTGTTGGCTTTTTGCCATCAACATTGTTTTATTCCACATGATTATGGCATTTTGGTGTATTCCACATATGAATATGCGACGAGACAGCGCGTCGCGGTTTTGATTCAACACCAACCATACAACCAACCCCACAGTCGCAATTATATTTGCTCTTGAGATTTGAGATTGCTGAAAAGTCGGAGAGTTAGAAGCACGTTTTTGGCATGCGGCTTGCCTCCAAAATTGTGATTGCAAATTTTTTGATGGCACGTGCGGTTGCTCGGGGCACATAACGTACGAGTATATCCACTGAGTCGCAAGCACGCACAGCTAATTGATTTAAGTCGCTTAGCGAATTATTTAAAAAGAACAGCTTTAAGATTCTACTAATCGCTTATATACAAGTCAAATGGCACTGTAGCCGCAGTCTGCAACGAACAGATAGACAAACAGCTGGAGCACATAATCAGGCAGCTGGAGGAACAAATGTTCCACCGACTTCATCATATTCGCATTAATATTTCAACGAGAGGCATTTAAATTTTTAATTACATTTAACCGACGCTGTGCAAGAAATCCTTTAATGGCCGTCTCGACAGCATCGCAAATGTCGGACGCCATTTTGCAGGCGTCGTGGCGTTGACGTTTAATCCTTTAGCGACATATTTTCCGCCGACACGACTTAATGAGCTGGAATTTTCATGCTGTGCACGCGACGCGCCGTGTCAATACGGCAGAGAATGTCCTTGTGTTGTTGTTGCAAATGGAGAGTAAAATGAAAATAAAAGATACTCTCTTATCAGCAGCGTGTCATGACGACATTATTTTATCATTTTCACTTGTGTAGTTTGTTAGTCGTTATGCACGAGCATGTTTATGATGGCCTGTTAAGGTTTTATGAATGTATTCCTGCTGCTGCTATTTTGGAAACGGAAATGTGAAAAGTTTATGTTGCTTCCACACTTTCATTTGCATAATTGACTAATGGTGTTCTAAAAGTGTTTAGTTATTATATTATACTATAGTTATGAGCGAGCATAAGTTTCATTCACAGCTTTTTGTTACTGTATTAACCAAAGCGAAGTTCTTGTACACAGCATAAGTAGTTCTTTAGGTTGATTTAGATGTGTCAGTTATCAATCTTTACAAGCTCTTCCATCTTAGAACACTGGAAGCGGGTTGTGAAAAAGTAGGTCAAATAATTCTTTAAGGCTGCTAACTAGCGCTTACTTAGACAAAATGGTATATGGAAACTATACAAAAAATGTGTTTTTTATTAAAATTAATTAAGTCATAAAAACTAAAATAAAAACTGGATTTTAACATGTAACTCCAATTGCGGAAAGATAGACAAAATAACGGGGTTTTCGTGGCTACAGTTTTCTAATTTATTCCAATAACTGAATTAATATTGAGGTTCTTTTCCATGGGTTGACAATTATGATTAGAGAATCGTTGCTCCTTCTTTATATATTTTTTACTTAGAGTGGTTAAAGGCTTAGGACAGTAGCTGTTGCTCAAGTAATAACATGATATTTGTTTTCATACGAACAGACTGGATATATCCCACAAATTTTACGGAAAGGCAAATGACAATGACAGAATGGAATAATCCGATCATCCCCTTTAGAGTATGCTGTCGCAATGAATCGTCAATAATTAAGTAGTTACTACATTTACTACTACAAAGTAAGCATTAATTCTAAATCAAAGCTGCATTCAAAACTCGAATGTATAGTATAGAATTAAATGGTGCAAGAGCAGGCCCAACTTGCCACGGCACAGTCCAACATAATGTCCAACCTCTGTGCCGTGCTGTGCTGGCCTGCAACACAGCGCACAACGATTGCTTGCCACTTGCCCTCTTTGACTGCTGGTGTCTAAAAGCTCAAACAATTTACCTAGGGTTTTCTGCTATGAATTATTTGTTTGCACTTCTCCGATGCCAACAGTGCATGCCACTGCAATTGCCTTTACGCTCCCTTCGTGTCTGAAATGCTGGGCGGACCTGTTTGTTTTTAATGCAATTTCAGCGTTATAATGCAAACAAGTGAGCTAAGACAACAACAGGACGACATATGCCAGCTATTCAGTTGATGCCAGATAAGCAAATGTAGCACAATGCGATCGAATTGAATAACTATGAAGCAACTTTATGATTTTTGTTATATTATATACTTTAAAAACAGTTGAACTAAGGTTCAGCCGAATCGATTTTCTTCATTGCAATTTTTGTTTTAATCCACTTTTCCCTTTTCAAATTCCAATTCACAATTTTAGCCAAAATAAGGATAAAAAAGGTCTCAAAAGAATTTTTCGTGTAACAATACATATTTTAGCTTTTGAACATCGCAAGAATTTCATATTCTTTTGTGCTTAAAAAGTTTAAATTTGTATAAAAAGTATATTTAAATTTAAATGTAATCTCGCTAAAAATAACTCTAACGATAAATGCTCGCTCGTAAAACAACATTTTTTTATTATTGTCCGTATCTAGTCTATGTACCAATACAGAATACTAATTTTAGTTTATTTATTTATTTTGTTCCTCTGTTGCAGGCCATTAATTCGCGGAATGTGATTTGAATTTTTCTGGAGCTAAGTGCAACAAGCAGAAATTAGCCTCGATTGATGGTCATGTGTCGCGATGGTCACAGTGCCTCTGGTCTATGATGGATATTTCAATTTGAAGAGCAACGCGACACGTGCAGCAGAGTGAAGCAGCAATTTAGACTTATGTGTGCTCGATTGAATGCAATAAAATGTTAACGACACATCATCTGCATCATCTGCATCATCATCGTGGCAGCACGGCGCTGGAATTGGATAAGATTACCAATTTAAATACAGTGAGTAATTTTACAAATCAGCAAGTGCAAAAACGAGCTTACTCCAAAAATAAATTGAAATATGTTTTTTTGCTAACGTGCAATTTTAATTGTTCCGACAGCTTCCGAAAAGTATCAAAGGAAATTTTTTTGTGCATACAAGTAGTATGTATCACCACACATGAGATGTGTGTAGGAAAAGGGAAGTCCCACATTCTACGGCAACAGTGTAAGAATAAGCACTTCTTCAGACGCACACATGCATAGTAAATTGAAACTCTTGTGATAAGTGAAAAGATTTAACCGCTGAATGAGAATAAATGGTATAAAGTAAATAATACAATTTGCAAATTCTACAATGGCTGCAAAAGAAAATAAAACATATAAAGAGTGCTACTATGAAGTTACTATGAAACAGTAATTAATTACTGATTTACATTTTATTTTAATATATGTATATGTGCTCTCTTTTTCCTTTTGAAACCTTTTTCCATTTGAATATGTTATTGAAAGTAGTAAATTTAAATAGTAAAACTTTTTTTAGACTTCTTAAAATGTAGGAACGTAACCCATTACTTTGTATGGAGAACATGGCTCGTTTAACACGATTTCGCTGAAAACGACGTTTTTAAGGAACGTATCCCACGTGTTAAGCGAGGGCTAGGTGTAGTAACATATGACTCTGCAACGTATTTATCTAGTCGTAGCACTAGTCGATATAGCCATGGCCGTCTGATCCTCGTTATTGTTGTTATTATTATTATTATTTTTCAAATCAATCGTCAGTATTCAAAAACTGATTCAACAAACTGGAATCTATTTTAAAGAGTTAAGTGCTGTGATCGTACTTGAGGCAGAGTATTGATCTGATCTTAGCTCATGCTGGAAAGATAAAAAACAAAGCCCTTCCCACAAGAAGTACTGAGCTTGCTGCATTTCGACATAATGAAATTCTTGCCCAAGGAAATATAAATAAACAGGCATCGCTCTTCCTTTAGCCAGCGGACTAATTGCCGTATGAGATTTACGGTATGCCGAAAATGTGGCCAACACTTTTACAGAAATAAAAAATGTTTGTTGCCACGTCCGAAACAACACATTCATATTGGACAGCATAATTAACATTCTGCGTCACGACGAAGCAAACTGCCAGACCAAAATAGACGCACTACAGTCTCAACTGAATGGAGTGGTGGAGTAGCTAAAATTTGACTCTGGAGTGACTATCACTCATGTAGCCACACAATTTAGACTACTGCTGCATCGTACTGTGAACAGATTAGTTAGACACGGGCAACTTATCCCACTACTGTTATCTCCAGGATAACTCATCTGTGATTTCAAGCACATAGAACATAAACCAACACGGGATAACTGAGTTAGCTGTATCCACTACTAAGAACCCAAAAAAGTTGGCAACACTATCAGCATATTGAACTTGCACTACGAAGACTTCATATCATTATGCAAAACAATGAGTACCTGTCGGTCAAGGATCATTTCACAATGAGCGTCAAGTAAAAATAAGCAGGAACATCAACGACTGTGAGTTGCGGCGATTTGAAGCTCGAAGAACTACCAAATGCATTATGCGACTGCTCAAAAAAGACACATACTGGGCCCAGCTAGCGAGCCAAACCACATGGTTCATAGCCAACGGCGCGCCTACATCCTTGACTGCAGTGTACAGCACCCACAAGCAGATGCTTCACCTGAACGGCACTCTTTTACTCAAACTGCGACACTCAGTTATACTCACTGGACTCTCAAGAGGTATCTGACGCAGCTAATTAGTGGTGTCCTTTAGTTTTTCCTGCCTCTGGGACTGTCTGAAACATCTGAAATTTCTCTTAATGCCAGTATCACGACACGCAGCGCCTTCACGCACACAAAGTAACTGGCGGCCCTCTAATAGCAATTACAAGGAATCAAGCTGGAGGACTCGCCTGTCAAGACAACTAGCACAATACACCAGGTCATTGGACCACACGTGATTGCTAGCCTGAGCCTGAGCCTGAGCATGTACAGTAATCGGACACTGCAAACGGCATCAACAGGCGTTCAATAGACGAACAAAGCGCCAAGAATAATAAGGATTGAGGAAAATCTATTGTTATTGATGAAAAATGACTTTTGTGTAAATAAGAACCCTTTAGACTCCCCCTCTTACATAAAACTGGAAACGACATTCGCAGAATTTTCAAATCTCAAGTAAATTCTACTGGTAATTAAGATTAATTAAACGCAGTTAAGCGACCAATGAATTTCAATTTCTGGCTCAGCAAAGTTCAATTTAAATTGTATGTAGTAACAAATTGCACTTGTATCTCGCTCCAAGTAGGCAACAGACTATTGAAATCACTGAAGCAAACGGAAAAGCACTTTTAACGGCAGACTTAACTGCTTCCTGTGTGGCCCTCACTGGCAGTTTGTGGAGAGAAGAAGAAGACGCAGCTGCTGTCAGAAATATGTGCAACACAATATTCCTCATGTTGGTGCACTTGACTCTTGAGTGCGGCAGATGTCATACTCAACAATAACAATAATAATAACAAAATTAACGAAAAGTGCAAACGCAATCTTCTGTGCTGATTGCTATACAAGTAAGTGCACATCTTTGGATGAGTGTGTGGAAAATTGTGAGCACTTGTGCATTAAAAAGTTGCTCGGATGCCGAAAATGTTCGTTAAGATTGCATTGACTTTGACTTTCAGTGGAGGCCCACAATCCTTGCCACAATTTGCGACTTGGCCCTTTCCTTACTTGTCTTCCGCTGGCTGTAAAAGGCACCAAGTGGAAATTTAATAGCACTCTTGACCATATATTGTTGTTGCTGCTACTGAAAAATGAAAAATGCTGCACGAAAGCGAGGCGAACAAAAACGAAAAGAAAATGGAAAACACGTTTATTGCCATTCATTATATTCTCGCGAGCTGTTGCGCAAAGTAATGAAGCACTTTCCTAGTGGCCACCATCCTTTTTTAAATTTCTACGCCACCCATTTCCGACATGCCTTCGCTTTTTTGAAATGCTTAATGCAGCGCAGAGCATAAACAACACGACGGAGGAACGTGTTGAGCGCTGATGAGAGCGATGGACAAGTTGCTCAAGAAAAATTGCCCGCTGTCTTGCACCAGAGTTGAAATAATAATTTTCGCCCCGCTGGAAATTGTTGTCGGATAGTGGGGATGTACGAAAGAGGATGTGAGTGCTCGTGAATATTTGTGAAGCGTCGGTTTTGAATGTTCAAGCGAAAACAAGAACAATTTTTTATGAAAAGCGAACAGCATAACAACCGCCAATACATCTTAACTAATTTTGAAATATATAGTAGTAATATAAACACAAACATTTATATGCAGAAGATATCGGAACAACAACAACTGCCAATTCGAGTTTGTTTCGTTTAGTTGCGAGCATTTGTTTGGCATGGATTGGGTGTGGATTGTGTGTGAGAATATGACTGAAGGTCATACGACATGTACATACATACATATGTATGTATGTTTGTTAGTAAGTATTTATGTATGTATGTATATGCATCAGTATTTGGCTTGCGGTTGCGTATGTGGGTCGACTGGAAATGAGACCACAAAACAGGAAGTTATACACACTCATATAATAAAAGCCTAGCCGTATCGTAAACAAAGGATCGTGTTCAACACAACACACACACAACCTCACTGTATACTTGTATACTGTAAGTATATAGATGAGGCTGTACATTCAGTAACACTCCCATACGAACACGACCATAAAACGACACGTAGTCCGCTATTGTTGAGCTTGGTCAGGACCCTATTAAGCACAGCTGCAAGGCTTAAGCATAAGTTGCGGCATCCGCTCCCTGAAATTGTAAGCGTTTTGATTGTCAGCCCGTTTGATTGATAATGTAAACCGATATATGTATATACGTTCATTGCCACCGACAGTTATCCAGCAGCCAAAGCCAAAGAAACCTTTGCCAATATTTAAGTTTACTACGATTGCTATCAATTGTTTTTCTCGTCAATACTGCAAACCATGATCTACTATATACTATGTTATTGAAGCTTTACAATATTGTACAAGACTGCTTTAAATTATGCCTTTGGCAAACTTATGAGCTTGTTTGAAAAAATATATTGATAAAATACCTGAGAACCTGCTGACTAAGGCAGAGTTACAGAGTTCTGACCCACTGTGCGCCGTCGTTATCGTTGGCCACTTCGTATATGTATGTGTATGTGCTATCTGCTCGGCTCGCATATGAAAAAACAGCAGACAACAAACACTCTAGGCCAACAATCAAGCCAGCGAGTGAGCGAGCAGCAAAGCAACTCAAACTTATCGATTGCAGGCTCAAGTATTCTGTTATCATTTTAACACCATGGGAAACGGGCAAAGCAATTGTGTAAATCATAGGAAGAGGACAAGTAACAATAACCACTATGAATACTCTTAGCCTGTATATTTATTCAGATCTCTTCCGACAGTATATTTGTTATAAAATTAGCCAAGCTAACCAATTTTAGCTTTCGCTTGAGAAGTTATATGTACCATATTTCCGTAATGCCAAAATAATTCGCTGGATTATTTATTTGTTTGGATTATCTGACTATGGAATACCGCATACAACAATCATTTTATATAATGTTGTGCAGTTTTTGCAGCATAAAACTTTTACACTGTAACAGCTCAACAGAAATACATACATTTTATGTTTAAGAAATTGATAAACAGAAAATACTTTTCTCAAGATAAAGGAAGTGACATTTCTTTATTCTGAGGTGATTTAATTTATTTTTCTATTGTAGCTGCAGGCTTTGTTTGGCCACCATTGATAGCTCTCCACTCAATTGCATTCATCTTCTCTGCCTTCTTGGATTGTTACTTATCGCAATTGCAGCATTTGTTAGACTGTAACAACAACCACACGCATACGAACACACACACACACACACACACACACACACACACACACACACACACATGAACACAATGGCGTATGTGAACAATAACCGGTTGCTCATATACACGGT